TTTCCAAAAAATATTTAATGTTCAGATTCGACTCAGTTACAATTTTATTATATTATGTATAGATATACAGGTAGTGCCACATACTGAAAAAAAGAAAGATTTATTCTTATTGGCTGCTACTAACAGAAACCTACATTTACTCATCATATGTTACTCCATCATAATCTTTTTACTTATAAATCTCCGTACGTCCGTCCGTTTCAGCGTGAACAGTAACAAACATACATACACACAAATTTTCGCGTTTATAATGACAGTGTATATATAATTTATTTATAAACTAGCTTTTGTTCGCGGCTTCATTGTTTATATATATATGTATGTATGTACCAGTGGCGAAGGGTGAAATTTTAGCAGAGATGGCTTATTTTTTATATAAGTATTAATGCAGAAAGAAATAAAGCTATTATATATATATAATAATAGGGCGACCCAAAAAAAAGGATTATTTTTTTTTTCATGTCTCGTGTGAAAATATGTTAGTTTACTATGTTTTAAGAGTCCCCTCCAAAGGACAGCTCAAAAAAAATTTTTTTAAAGGTCGCTCACAATTTTTTTAAATTTCCTAAATCCTCAAAAATCGATTTTTTTTTCAAATGCTTTTTCTCGTAATTTCATTTCTTCTTACATGAAAAATTATGAAGATCCTGAAAATTTCAAGTCAAAATTTTAATATTTAGAGGTCGCTACAATTTTTTTAAGTTTTCAAATCGAGTACTTTATATCTATTTGAGCAACTTCTTAACATGAATATTAACGAACTTGTAACTTAATTGTTCATTAATTTTTTTTTTGTTTCTCGTGCTTTAATTTCATTCTTTAGCATGTGAAATTTAAGGAAAAAAATATTAAGTTCGTTAATATTCATGTTAAGAAGTTGCTCAAATAGATATAAAGTACTCGATTTGAAAACTTAAAAAAATTGTAGCGACCTCTAAATATTAAAATTTTGACTTGAAATTTTCAGGATCTTCATAATTTTTCATGTAAAAAGAAATGAAATTACGAGAAAAAGCATTTGAAAAAAAAAACGATTTTTGAGGATTTAGGAAATTAAAAAAAATTGTGAGCGACCTTTAAAAATTTTTTTTTTGAGCTGTCCTTTGGAGGGGACTCTTAAAACATAGTAAACTAACATATTTTCACACGAGACATGAAAAAAAAAATAATCCTTTTTTTTGGGTCGCCCTTATATATCCAAAAGAACATTTATACATTTAAAAAATTAAATGTATGTAAAATTGTAGCAAAAAAATATTTTAATAAAATGTAGCAAGTAAAATAAATCTAAATAGCAGTGCCAGAAATAAGCAAATTCAAATAAAAATAAGGCAAACTGTTTTATAATATGAGTATAGATAGGCATACCTCTATTTACAAATATATTATGTACGAGCTAAGCTGAAATCCACTAAGCAAAGTAAAATTTTTGATGAACACTCGTGATGTAGTCTATCTGTATAAATATTTTATGTTTTATATGAGATATATGGAAGTGAAAGAAAGAAAAAAATATTAAGGAATTTGCTCGACAAAAATATATATTTACTAGCGACTCACTCTCGCTTCGCTCGGGTTCGTCCCTAGGTATTATAATAGATATAGTATTTTATCCTTAAGAAATAGACATATGCCATCGCGGAATTTTCTGTAGACCTATATAAGATACTCAATTCCATCATACATTATTTTGTTGTATCTCAAAGGGTTAAGGCAGTGTTTTCGTTGAAAGCTCCCAGACGGCTTATTTTTTTCCGACACCTCCAACTAATATCGTTATATTTTAGCCAATGTATGTAAAAACTTAACAAATTATATACTTAAACCTTTCTCGAGAACCATTCAATCCATTGGTGAAAACAGCATGAAAATCGGTGCAGTAGTTTTTGAGTTCATCGCGAAGAGACAGACAGACAGACGCGGCGGAGGACTTTGTTTTATAATGTGTAGTGATACTAGCGACTCACCCTCGCTTCGCCCTGGTGTGTTTCTAAATGACTAACAATAGTTTATGTTTATTCCAAGTCTTAGTCTAAGCCTGTGTGCTAAATTTCATCCAAATCCCTTCAGCTAGTATTTGGCATTGTAAATAAAACTATCTTTTCGGATTTACGAGTGATATTTTGGTATTTTTTAAAAACATTGCTGAATTTTGTGTATAGGTGTTGTCTGTAACAACAATATAATGACCATAATTGCTGTAAAGTACGAAAAGTCGGGAAGCAAAAATCAAAATATATCTCCGAAAAAATTTGAATAGATAGTTTTATTTAAAACGTACACACAAACAAACTTTCGCATTAATAATATTAGTAGACAAAAATGGAACGCGAGGTTAACTAACCGTTATAAGTAACAACAAGGTTTCAAATATATAAAAAGGAACTAGAGTTTGCTTATGAATTTATTTATATTATTCATTTGTATTTTGGAGCGGTAACATCGGATGAAGTTGGCGAAAATCTAAAATGCAATTTTTGCCTGTAAATTAGATGTAATTTTATTCGAACGAGCAAGAATTTATAAATATATTTTAACTGCTTAATTTCATTCAAATTATTTCAATCCCGAGAGCACAAAAAGTCCACAGTGGACAAATAATAAAGAGGTACCGTTCAGTCAAATATTCCTTGACTTTGCTATATACATATATAACAAAAAAACTTAGTTATTCTATATACCTATCTATGTACATATATCTTTATGTTATAAATCATTGCTCTGGTCATTACTAGCACAAGTCACTTCAAAGAAGGTCAATGTCTTCAGTAAAGGTCCCATTCAAAAGGCGATAAGAAATGGATCAAAGAAACGTGTGAATCGAGTTAGAAGTGTGGGTATGACAAAAGATTTTTAGGCGTCATTAAATCCAAGCTTTTCCTGTACTGTGCTTCGTTTGAATTAATATCAATGACTTGCTCTAGTTACTGCAAATTTTTAAATTATTATTAAGTCTCGTTTTTATCAATTTTCTGACAGTTTTGATCACTTATGTCAGAGACGTTCAAACTGTCATCTTCTATTAACATTCCTTTCTTAGTTTAGGCGTTTATAAACATAATATAATAGTCACACAGTGGAAATTTTAACATAACTTCTAAAAAATAAACGTAATACCACAGAAACTATTATTTAAAGAATAAGTAGTTTGACTATCGAGAGAAATAAACTTTTTTTTCAATATCTAACGGGTTTTTTTACTATAGATATCCTTTGAGTAGTTTTCCTATTACATTTTTTTTCAATCCGGGCATGTTTCTAAAATTGAAGCTGTATATTATTCTGTATTAATTTTTTTTTGTCACGTACTGTGTAAGTGTAGCATAGATGTGACGGTCGTGGACAATACGCCTTGTTTTTCACGCGTACTTGTGCCGCTGCCTCTTGGCAGTTTTCCGACGATTTCTGGTTAAAAATCCTTTGTCTGCTATGAAATTTTTGAATGTACGCCTTTTTGTTTTTCTCCTGAATAAAATGTAGGTTGAGATGTGAAATATGGTGTGTTTCTACGTATTGCATAATTAAAAGTAGTGTAGGGAAATAAAAATTACAATTCATTATATGTCGGCTATATTGTTTGCGTTGGAAATGCAGTTTTACTGAGAGTTTTAATTTGACGTTCGATGTTGCAATAATAAAAATAGTGCTGAGAAATGAAAACGCTTTTGTTGGACGATTGATTTTCAATTGTTTAAAGTACCCATATGTAGATGCTTAATATATATTATGTGAAAATTGAGGATGCGTGATGTTTCCCTTTTGTATACGTAAGCCCAATTGCGCGACTTTATTCGAATATAAAGAGGCCAATCATTGTACGTGTCTATAAAATCAATTGTTCTTGACTGAAAACTGTGACAAATTTCATTGGAATTTTCATGTTTTCCATTACATATTAGTCAAATACTTTATTGACAAATATTATAATTAAGTTATATTGATAGATTTCGTATAAGATGCTACTAGATTTCATATAAGAGTACCTTCTTTTCTCCTTTTTTTCTCTTATTTAACGTTATTTGCATATAGTTTAGCAAAATTATGTTATCGATTGATAATATCAGAGTCGATAACTTATTGCTTTCAGTCGCAAAATTGAAACTTTATACGAAACTATCTACGGCTTAGTCCATGTGCATATTTCTATTATTAACAGTATTTTATTAGACTTGCTTGTAACTCTCTAACTAACAATGTACTTAATTAAATCATGGAAATTGACTCTGAACTTTCTTCTAACTAGCCAATCTTTACGATAACTTGTAAGTTCTAAATGAATTTATTTATTTATTTACAAAAAAGCCAAAAAAAAACAATTTCAAATATACTTACTTATATTAAGTATATATAAAACAAATGTACACTTAATTACTACTGTAAAAGTCATGTCCCCACTTGATGCCATAAGATGAGGTGTTATATCTTATAAAAAGTGTTTAGCACTTCGAATCTATGGGCCAAGGGTTTTTACAACAGTATAAAGGCATAATTTTGATTACGGGAGGAGTATTTACGTAGCTTGAGAAGTTCAGCCCTTTCCGCTGCTCTCATTCTAGATATAGCTACATTTTTTAATCACACACTTAATAGGTACGACTCTCGCTTTAAATATGAACACGGATAATCTAAACTATGTATATCTTTGAAATTGTATTACAATATTACCTTCCTATAATCTAAGTGGTAGCCCAGTGGAAATTTGCTAGCTTGTAAAGCTAATTGAAGTGGGTTCAAATCGCAAGTGCTTATGAGATTTATAATTTAACACATAATTATCTGTTGTTATAGCAAACGTCCTGAATATGCCTATCTGAGAAAACCGGAGAACTATGTACTTTACTTTGGTAGCGTGTGAAATGTGAAGTCCTGCAACTCATTGACCAGTGTGGTGGAACTTGGCCTTATTCCTCACTAGTGACTTTATACAGACAGACATTACAGATAACATCTTTATAAGAAAATCATTAAGAGATAATCAAATAAATTTTTGTGGTCTGCAGGTTTAATTCAAGTCTGGTCGGCGCCGGGAGGCGAAACCAGACTGCCGTGTGATCTAGCTGCTTCAGTGCACGAAGTTGCTATGATGATGTGGTTTAAGGATGGAGATCGAATGCCTATTTACACGTAAGTCTTGTATATTTTTATGTTAAAGAAACATATGTATTGTAAGCAGTATTTGTGCAGGTATACTGCGTGTAAATTGAGGATATTAAGAGTTTAGAGGAGGGAAAAACTGATTGCCACGCATGCAGAGTAGACAGTTCTTGGTATTCTTTATGTATTAAGTACTTATTTAGTCCAACTGGTCCGACCATGCTATAACTTGCTAGATTACTAAAATACAAGTACAAAAAGAACCCAATTAAATGTTTGTATCACTTTAAGTATTAAGTTCTTCAATTCCCTCTTTTGTCCTGATTCTGAAATTTAATCATTCGAATATTCATTACATTATATGAGATAATTATTAGGCAATTTTATATTCTTATAAACCAAGCATTTGACCTTTATGATATTATTTCATGATAAATAAAACTTCTATCTTTCAATCTTTTCAGATTTATTTAAATTTTTCGGAGAGTCTTTCCCGTGACCACGATTGCTGTAAAGCATTCGAAACGTCACGTCGGGAACCAAAAATCAATAATATTATTTAAAATGTCAAATATTCGCGTAAATCTAAGAAAGTACCTATTACAATTTCATGATTTTGAAAAAGAGGCTGAATTATTATATTTTATTATTTATTATTAGAATATTATTGATAAAAAATATTTTAGGAGCTTTAACACTATAGTTAAAATATAGCAAAAACTAGTCACAGTAATGAAGTTCCAAATATATGTATATCTTACTCTTAATAAATGGAGAGCAGATTTTTTTGTTTAGTTTAATATACTGCGATAACTACTGAACCGATCGGAATAATACTCATACTATAAAATACAGCGTGTTTCGGAGATGGGTTTAGTATATCATATGTTGGTGATAATTGTACTATGCGGGCGGAGCCGCAGGAAAACGCTAGTATAGGTATAATTACATAGTATTAGATAGCTTATAACTTACAATTATTATTTATTCACATATCAATTACTCTAAATCCGTTGTATCAGCAATATAATGTTATTCTGTATCCCCAATAATCAATCGACACTGCATTACCGTCTACACTCACGTGTCTTAAGGGCTTATTCTGGATATTTTCATTGATAATAATAATAATTGCCTTTATTTGAAAATAACTAAATAAATAACCATGTGAGTAGGCGTGTATGTTTGTATCATGAACGAGTGGTTAATTCGTTCATGGTTTGTATGAAGATGCGCTACATGAGTGTAATATATATTTTTTTATATTATGTTGGTACATTAATACACAGCACCATCTAGTTCCACGGTAAGCTACGAGGATTGTGTTATGGATTCCAGATAGTTGATACACTACTCATACATAATTTTAAATACATACAGATACAAATGAATGTCCTTAGCGAGACTCGAACGCACGACCGCTGTCACAGCAAGTAAGGTCACAACAAACTGAACCAAACGAGTCGTCGAAATAATAACAGTAATTACCATGATAATATAAACTTCTGTGTATTTTTATAACTTTTTAATAATATCGAAATGATTTGTATTAAACATAACAATGAAAATTATTTAAAGCAGTGTTCGTGAAACTACTGCAATTTCAGGATAAAGTAAATATTTTTGGGACAATACTGATTAAAGTAACAAGTACAATAACATATATATCATCTCCCTGCCCATTTCCCAATCACTTGGGGTAGGCGCAGTACATCTTCCGTACCTACTGCTGATAGGATTTGGCAAAAGTTTTACGACCGGCCGCCTGACATCAACCCTCCTTGGGAATGCTATTGTTTATCGCGGAAAGTACCCAAGGTGCGATGACCAGCACATCTAATTTATATTTAGGTATATAAAATTACCTAATGCCAGTAATAATAATAAACACCATAACATATTCGTATAACATAAAATTGCGGAACATATTTTTATATATTATACTCATAATTTTTCTATACTATATATAAAGAGGTAAATTTTGTGAGTTTGTGACGTTGTAAGAGGAAATCTCTGGATCTACTGAACCGATTTAGATGAAATGTGGTAAGAAAATAGTTTGAGACCCTGGGATAGACATAAGATAATTTTTATCCCGGAAATCATCTTTTGAAGGGGTGAAAATGTGTATAAAAATTTGTATTGGGAAGCAAGCTAGGGACGAACCCGAGCGAAGCGAGGGTGAGTCGCTAGTATGGATATACTCTAAACTTTCATTAAACTAGTTATATATTACAGTTATACCATAGCCAAAAGGGCAAATTAAAATGTAATAAAATTCATTTTCAGCCAATTATATTATAATATTCTAAGCGTATTATTTAAAAAAATATAAGAACACCAATAGTTTCCAAACAACCCAGTTTCTGAACACCAAAACTTTGCCAATTAAAATATATATCAGAAAACACAGTATCTCAACTAAAACTGAATTCCCAGAATAACCAACATGCCTTAGCGTTAGTTAATAAGCCCATTGTTTCCCCTCTTGAATAGCTTAATCAGGATCGACAATGGAACCGATACGTGCACTGCTTTCAACAAGCAAATATACTAAATGGACAAGGTAGATGCATTCAGCTATATACGTTTTGTTAAGGAACGACTGATGTGGTGTAGTTCGAAATAAGTAAATCGCGGGCTATGAATATAAAAATGTTCACATCCATAATACTTTCTTAGATTTAGAAGAATATTTGACATTTCAAATAAAACAAAAAAAAACTTTTCGGATTCTTTCGTGGACTTATTTTGATTTTAGGTTCCCGAAGTATCCTAAATTTAGTAAGGTAATTTTTGTATTTTTGAAAATCATTGTATAACTTTTGTGGGTAGGTATAGATAAGATGCTGTCTGTAACAACTATATATTATATATATAATAACCTCTGAGACGTCTAAAACTTTAGTCTGTCCCGTGACCCTGATTGCTGTAAAGCATTCGAAACTTCGGGAACCAAAAACAAAATAAATCCACAAAAAATCCGAAGATAGTTTTATTTAAAACATTTTTACCCTTTAATATCATAAATATTGTTACGTTCTATAAGTTTTAAGATCGGAAATTAAAGTACGTATTTTGCACTATACAATATAGATGTTTTATTTCTTTCAGGAATACCCGCCGCAATACATACACACACTATACAATTTTGATTTAATTCACTCTATGAACACTATTCTCCACTACAACTTGCATTTCCACTAACACTTCACTCACTTTTTACGTTTTTTTTTTCCTCGCTTTCTCACATTTTCGTATATCTTCTTAATCTTCTCTTAGCTCCAAAATCCAATTGAATTATAATTTTTATATGCATAAATAAAGAAAATTCTAGTCGTATTCGAAAACTTTATTATTTTCTAGTATTTATTTAGTTAGTTATCATTCGTGATGCAGATGAGCCATTTTGAATTATTATTTTTTGTGTAAAGACATTCTCTAATACACAATAATATTAATGTGTTTGTTATTTTATATATTTTTGTTTGTATTTCTGCACAAAAATATTTTATAGGTGTGATAAAAAACTTTTTCTTTAATAATAATTGAAGGCTTTTTGTATGATACTTTTTCTCTTCATTAACTTACAATATTACAAGAAGCTATTTCGGATGCTTTTCGCAAAGTGAGTGCGGATCATATGTTTATGTTTATAGTAGGTTATATTATTTATTTATTATATATTGGAAAACTGTATTTGTATTAAAAAAATATTTTGTATTAGATTCTTGCGTTTTTTGGTTGGTATGGTTAAAATTAAATTACATTTAATTTTTAAAAATTTACCACAGGTACAGTAATCAAAAGTAAATTAAAAAGAAGACAGCACAGATTATCCATATTCGATGATGCAAAATGTCTGGAGACATCTAATCGTCTGCAGAAATTACTAGATTTGCTAACTACAAATGATATTACTGTCCATTAAGCCCATCGACCAACCCTTGCATATGGAACCGATTTAGCATTCAGCTATTACTCGAACAGATTATTAACAATTTTATCCTGCCAAACGAAGTGAAGACCTAGATATTTATCTGTTTTACTTGTAACTTTGCAATGAAAAATGTTTAAAGTTACTAAATATACTCAAAATTATTTCGCATACCTAATCAAAAGCTACATCTGTGCAATTTAAATATTATGAAGCGACTAACAGAATTATCTGAGAACTTACCACCTTTATTACGTAGCTTATTCTGAATTAATTACATTTAAATTTACAACTGTTAAGCGGATTCCATTGTTAAATTCGTTAAGCTGCTTAAACCTTTTGAAGAAGAGATTTACTTTAGAAGTACTAAATGAGCGTAATTTATATATCATACTAACGGCTCACCCTCGCTTCGCTTGGGTTCGCCTCTAGAAAAACAGAAACAAATCTTTCTCACTGTACACTTTTTGGGATAAAAAGTAGCTTATGTGCTATTCTAGACTATAATCTATCTCTGTGCCAGATTTCATCCAGATCCATTCAGCCATTCTGACGTGATTAAGTAACAAACACCCATCTGAAATTTAATATTTAAAGTATTACGCGTAAGAAGCAAGATAAGAATTGCAGCATTTGACTAAATTACACTGTTTCTATCTATATTTCTAACCTATTTAGAAGGGCCTCAAAACATGCGCCTATCGTCGTTTACTACTAAGTGAGCGCATACCTATATGAGTGCCAACCATGCTGAGCAGACCACGTTCATCCCTTAAACCATTTGAGAAAGAGATCTAGCTTAGAATAGAACCTTACAAGTACAAAATAAGCATAATTTTACTTATTATGAAATAAGAATTACAGAATTTGACTGAATGAAATTTTTATAATCACTTTACTAGTATTTAGAGGGTCTCTAATACATATGTACATAATAAACACACCAGCATTGCTGCGGCTCTGCCCGCGTTCAGAAAAAACCAAATTCTTAGGTTTTACATATTAGTATACTCTTACATTGCAGTTTTTGTATTTTTTCTCAAAAATGAGATATTTTCCCGCGGTAAAAAGTATCCTATATGTTGACCCGGAT